GAGGAGGTGGCACGATAATTTTTGGAATTTAGGGACCGGATTTTGGAATTTGGTATCAGGAGAATATGATATGCGAGGAGGTGGCACGATAGAATTTCGGATACGGGGTCCGGATTTTGGAATTTGGTATCAGGAGAATATGATGTGCGAGGTGTTGGCACGATGGAATTTCGGATTCAGGTTTTGGAATTTGGTATCAGGAGAACATGATGTGCGAGGTGGTATTCCTCGTGCCACTTCTTGGAATTTTCATATCATCATATTCCAAGAAATGTAAATTTTTATTTTGTTGGGTTTGTTAAGTGACAAGAAATAGACAATGATCGTTGATAAATTTTTCTTTATTTTCACCAGTTTTCATACAGTGCATAACTTAATTTTTTTTAATAAAGGGTTTTTAATATTTCGTGCTGGGTTTTCTAATATTTCGTGCTTGTGTTCCAAATTATGTATTGATAGAGTGTCGCCTCCCAATTTTAATTGTCGTCCATCTCTATCAGAGATTAATTTAAAGTATTTTATTGAGGAAATTTAAATCAATTTTTAAAATGACCGCCACAGAGTGTTACGGGTAGCGCCATCTGACAATGAAGTACTGAACTGTGGTAAGCATATGTAGAATACCTACCGAGCTCTGTTGGTATTTGATCGGTATCTTTTATGAAGGTAATGTACCATCAGCCTGGTTTTTATTATAGTTCCGCTCTCTATGAATAGATGGCGCCACGCACGACGTGAGTAAGGGCGTGTTCAGATCAGACAAGCAATGGTACAAATAGCCTAATATAAACGAGGTTTCATGTAACGCAGAGAAGCATTATTTTCATCTGTATTTTTACCATCCCTTCTTTTATAAACAACATTACTAATAATTGCACACATTATTACATTTTTTTTCACCTTTTTTAAAGTAAATTAATTGGAGTGTTATCTTTATTTTTTCAATACATTTATACTGCCTTTGTGCAAGACCCTGTACTACAGCGCAAACTAATATGTACATATTATTATAATAATTGCGTCCTAGAATTAAGTATTAATAATGCATGCATTTATTTATAAGATACATTAAGTCATTTGATGTACAAAAATATTTGAAAATAAATATAAATAAAAACCTGTATTTGCGTATTTACTTACTTATAAATCCTGTCATTCCCATCCCTAGAAATTGTCCCAAATTTAAGAAATTATAAAATAAAAAACAAAATATTGTACAAAATAAGTACAAATAGAATTCTTCTTGATCGACGGCTTTGATAACAGGATTCCTGAGAATGCGCGCGAAAATTTGAAATTTCAGTAAGTACAAGGCTTCTAAAACGATTTTAACGTTTTACATTAATTACTTCTCAGTAGATTATTGCTTTGTGTATCACTTTTACAAATTAAACTACTACGATACGGAAAATAATAGATTATGTACAATACAAAGTACAAGAGAAACGAGATAACAAATGTTCGAATATTCATATATTAAATTAACGTAATTTATTATCAATTAATTTAAGTATCATTAAATGGAATTTAGACAGCCAAGAGAACTGGTTTTAACCTGGTTTCGAAAATTATCAAAAGATACACATAGATATCAATGTTAAAACAACATGTTCTTAATGTCTTACTGACGCAACACAAACAAATACGTTTACCGCATTTATCATCGTTTTAAAAATACATACTTTATGGTACACAAAAATCCTGACAAATCAAACAATTTCAGTATTAATAAAATTTTCCAACAAGAGACCTTTACCTAAAATCAAATCAAATTAATAAACAGAAGTATAAGAAGACAAAAAATTTTAAATAACTTTACATAATTGTAACGAAAACATTAAAAGCTTACTTCCAATTATTATGTAAATTATTTTAATAAGATAATATTAGAGAACGTATAACTGCGCGTTAACTAAGATGGCGGAAAAATGTTCCTATTCAAAATGGAAGTATTATAGCAGCCCTTACATGACACAAGAATAAAACAAAAAGACGAGTTTTTTTATACATTCTGTTTATTTTTCATAACACATTTCAAGCATAATGATATCAACAGCCATGCCATTTCGCTACGAGTTATCATCAGATGTTCACGCTTAAAAGCGCAGGCCGTCAGAATAAATGTTCGAGCTTCTAAATCGAAAAACGCAACGACCGGTTCGAAAGCTCGCACGCGTCGAAGCAGCTCGAAAGACAAGTTCTCTCATGTTTTTTTTCTTTCCAAAAGTCTACGTTGCAAAATTTTCCACGTTTGATACCTGATCTACGGTACGCTAGCTCAGAAGCGTGCCGTGAACATTGTTTAAGCTACAACAGCCTGGTACGACGCAAAAAACATCGACGTACATTTGCTCCTCAGATCGCTCCGATAAATCTAAGGCCTCCTACGATGTTAACACGAATTGTTCGTCCTCTAATCGCAAGCAAACGAAACTGTGAGCTGTGACACCGCTCTTCTTTCCTCTTTCTCTTCCGATTATTTACAAATCGATCGGTACTTTCATACAGGATTTCGTAGCTTCGTGGATCGTGAACGGTACAAAATGAAACGATCAATTTCATTCTGCTCGCTTTATCAAGCATCTCGACAGCTATACGTTGGCGTAGATCGGTGTGTAATTAACGATAATACCTTAAACATCTAATAATGAATGCCACCATACTAGCACATAATCCTCTCTTAAACGATAACAATTATAGTTTACACGAAAACCGAAAAACCTCCGGTTCGTGATCTATGATAAATTTCATCGATCGACGATCTCGCCAAAATGGAGAACGCCTCTTAAGCAGCATTTCTTCTGTTTATTTTTTTTTCATTATTTTGCTTTTATCTTTTGATGTAATATCACGTTCGGATGAACCTCTTCCCTATACATACAAAGTCGCGAAGGTACGAAAAGTGAATGCAGTCGTGGATGATCAGACAGTTGAACCGCTAAGGGACGCGTTTCCTTTCTCGGGACATCGGGTCTTTAAATCATAGATTTATCTTGGCTCCGTTTCGTTGAATACTTGAATCTCAATCGTTCGATGCAGCTTTAAACAGGCTCGAATACAACGTTTTGGTTCCTTGAATGAGTTTTTAATTTAACCGGATTAGTTAATCGACGAGCTGTCTCGACAGAGGAAATTCGATGTCACGCGCGATACGTTACGCACGTGGCGATTCCCTTCGTCGACTGCCCTCTCCGTTGAAAATATCAGTGGTACCTTTATCGATCCTTGCTCCGATTTCTAAACGCGTAGCTTAATCTCGTTTCTAAATGAGCGATTCTCCCAAACGCATGTACACAATATGAGACCTTAAGTATCTTACACGCACGTGTATATCGTCTGATATATTTATTTGAACGAACAATGTGTAAAGGGTTATGCATGCATAGAATGCGTTACAATACACGGATCCCACTTAACATTACTTAGAACAATATCTCAACTTTGTGTTGTCGTTATTTTTTTTCTTTTTTCTTTTTGTTTAGCGTTCACATTTCATACGTTACCGCGAGTTCTGTCGAAGTTTTTCGCTAACAATTTACCCGACTATTTAGGAATTACCTTTGTAAGATTATCTTAGGTGTACTCGTAACATGTATATATATATAATATATATTACGTATATATATTTATATATATATAATATTAATATATCGTGTTCGTTAAACGTACTTATGTCATTTAAATATATACCTTAAAACTTACAGCTTCTCGCGACTCGTTTCTCGTCAAAATGTTCGGACTACTCTCATACATCTCACGTATCGTTACTTAAAGCGCTAATTGAGTTAACAATTATCACACAGGAAACATGTTCCAAATAGAATCTGGAGAATGAACTGATAGTATGCAGCGAGATGCGTTTCTCTTCGTCGCTACCCCCTAGTTGTTTTTTTTTTTTTTTTTGTTTTAACGTCCTCGACGCGTGCGAGCTGTCGACGGGTCTCGCGATTTTCTTCGATTTCGAAAGCAACGAACGTTCTCAGCGACGGTATACTTTTAAGCATGATCACTGAACCCCGATTCTTGGCCAACATTCCTCGATGCCGAACTTTTCCTGTCTTTCTCTGAGCCCCAACCCCTTCACGTTCGCGACGAAGGATCCAAACCTTTATACTTCAACAACGGATGTTCATTATTAGAAACAGCTGATTCACAATGATGAATATACATATATAGTCGCTCTCGATCGGTGCACTGGATACAAGTGTAATAATTTCTAATAATACATTATCAACGCGTGATTCATCGTCGTCATCGACATCCTCGTACTCTTTCATCTGATGCACTTCAGGTTCTGCACTTCTTCTTTCCTTTCATGTTTATTTTTTTTTTTCTTAAAATTTAATAGTGTCATCGACGATTAATCTATGTTAAATTTTTTTTTGGTTTCTTATCTCAACATGGCTCCGGACGAGGACCCAAGGAAATCATAGTAACGATAATAATAATAATGAGGGATAATAATAATAATTCGTTTACGTCGATTGATAAATAGCAATTAAACGATCGATTTATTTACTGGTTTTCGGGCAGCGTTCGCGATCGGGGTCGCCGCCCGATCCGTTATAGCCTTTTTGTACTATCATCGTGTCGTGTCTGTCCGGGACGATCCACGCTTCCATCGGGAATTTTCGTCGAGCGTGAATGTGCAACTGAATCGAAGTAATTCCATACGTAACGCATCTGTATTTGGCAGTATAACTTTGGTATAGTGAACATAGAAGCGTCGCAAACGAGAACTCGAGCGATTGTTCAAATTCGCGATGGAAGCAGCCGAACCGTGAGAGGATCTCACATAATGGGCGACGACCAACGGAGCGAACGCTGTCTTCTGAAGAAACGAACAAGCTCTCGGAACAACCAGCTTTTGTTTCTAAGTACAAGCCACAGAGACCGGAGATCAGAAACACATTCCATATTTCCGATTTAATCAGGAAGACAAAATACGCAAAATTCCTATGGAATTAAACAAATGAATGTATGTAGAACGCTGTATTTGAATGAAGATAAATTATAGTTGAAATACGGTTGAATTATGATTGAATTATAACTGAATATTTAAGAATTTTGTAAACGAGAAGAACATAGAACACAATCTCTCTGATCTCCAGCCTGTGTATGATACAACCTATCAACTATACGTTGCGTGGACTAGCGCTAGATATTATCATGCGGTACGATATAATCATAAATACATATTCCATACGATGTCGTATGGTTATCACTAGGCTGATTAAACTTTCCCCGTGCAAGCTGCGCGCTGTTCGACAAATCGAAATCCAACGAAACTCTCGATATACACTGATCAACGTTAATATTTTCTTCACCGGTTAATTACCAACTTTATTGCTTTTGTTGAACATGCTGATTTGAATTATCGCTTATTACCATCATTAATCGTATAGAACGTTGATCCACATTCGTGCGCGAGGAACTTCGAATTAAAAGCCAAGGACTCTTAATGGAATTAGAATAATTAACCGAATTATCGCGTTCTACTAACGTTGGAACGTCGATACCTTGGAGCTCTTGGCGCTTTCAATTAAAAGTTCGCACGTAATCGAACGTCGCAACAAATAGCCGATTTTCGGTGTGAATTTCGATTGATCGCATTTCAGCCCGAAACGACGGAACTTTCGATCGAGATTCGTCCGAGAGCTTCTTCGCGGAATTCGAAATCAAAAGTTCCACCGTGCCGGGTGCACCGTACCGCCGGGCTTTTGTAAACACACTAATCGTTTTTTCGTCTTTCTTTCTTTTTTTGTTTTTTCCATTTTTAGTTACGTCTACGTACGTGGCACGAACTAAGAGAGTATCATTGATCCTCGGTGAGCCCTACACGTTAGCGGTCCCGTTGGCCGGGCCCGACGGTAAATCAACGGAAAGAAATGCGCGCGGGGGCCCCGGACGAGACCGTATGAACGGACAAATAATAAAAAGGAAAAACGGGGCGAAAAATCGAATATTAAAGGAAAGTTTCTTACGAGCGTACAACGGATACGCTGAACGATACTTAGATCACGATGGTTACGACCACTCCCCTTCGCCCCCGGATAGAAAGAAGAGATACCGCCGCCATTTCTTTTGTGCAGAATTCTTTCCGCTGAACTGATTCTTTTGTGCATCCTGATACGTACACGTACATATATTGTACATACGTAAGCCTTTTATATAGCCAATTTTATTACTGGTCCGTTTCGTCGATACAATCACTTTGTCCGTGTCGATCGCGTGGAAAATACGATTACGAACTTGTGTATATGTTTGCATCCGTTTCTCTCGTTTTCCTTCCTAAATATTTGTGTGTCCCTCTCTTCGCTCTCCATGTGTGTATGTATGTGTGTGTCCGTGTGTATAGATGAGATTACAATGTGTCGAGAGACTACGATCTTTCGATGGTGTTAAAAAGCGCGACAATGTAAAAGTTACAGAATGAAAGAACCGCGATGAGGATGAGGATGAGTGGTGAGCTTCTGACGGATCTACGTTAAAATAACGGTGAGAAATATAGGCGGCCAGGGCGGTATCGTCGGCAGAGAAAACCGGAGGAAAGAAGGAGTGGTCACGATCCGCCAGCGAGATTGATTAAAAAAGAAATTTCTCTTATTCCCCTTCCTCCTACATTGTTCTTGGACGCAGTTGATAGTGGTCTTGCAAAAGGCGGCTAGCGCTACGCTTAATCCACCATTAACTCAAAGTGCACTGAACCACGCCTCTCGAATCTGTCGTGGATGATGTTGTGTGCCCAGGCCTTGCACTCGATATTGATCAGCACACCGTCTGAAACGTTTACGAATATAATCAATATTTTCTCTTACAATTAGTCTAGATAATAATCTTAGTCTAGATAGGCCCTCTTGAATGTAAGTCATTGGACACTTTCATAAGAGTACAAGAATCATAAGCAACAGCTAGAATGAAGTACCTAGTTATTCGGTCTTTAGGTAAATTTGTATTCAATTAGGTTAGATAAGTTTTGTCGTTCTTTGTCTAGATATGCCCTCTTGAATGTAAGTCATTGGACACTTTCATAAGAGTACAAGAATCATAAGCAACAGCTAGAATGAAGTACCTAGTTATTCGGTCTTTAGGTAAATTTGTATTCAATTAGGTTAGATAAGTTTTGTCGTTCTTTGTCTAGATATGCCCTCTTGAATGTAAGTCATTGGACACTTTCATAAGAGTACAAGAATCATAAGCAACAGCTAGAATGAAGTACCTAGTTATTCGGTCTTTAGGTAAATTTGTATTCAATTAGGTTAGATAAGTTTTGTCGTTCTTTGTCTAGATATGCCCTCTTGAATGTAAGTCATTGGACACTTTCATAAGAGTACAAGAATCATAAGCAACAGCTAGAATGAAGTACCTAGTTATTCGGTCTTTAGGTAAATTTGTATTCAATTAGGTTAGGTAAGTTTTGTCGTTCTTTTAAGCGATTGAGTATTTATGTATCCACATAACACGTGATGCTTTCTTAAATGCATGTGTAGTTTTGAAGATTGCTGTAGAAACTTTGGGATTTGATAAATAAAGAATTTGGGAGTTCAGAAATTTGGTGATCAGAAGATTTGGGGACGTCAGAGTTTGGAGAATCTCAGAGTAGAAATTTGGAGATTCAGGAATTTAAGGATATTGATGTCTGGACATGTGGGAATGTAGGAATATGGAGATGTAGAAATTTTTGAATATACAAATCTGGGAAAATAGAAACCTAGAGGGTCACAGGAATCTAGGGATATTGGAACCTTGAGATACAGGAATCCAGGAATATAATAATCGAGGAATATATTAATCTAGGGATATAGGAATCTGAGAACATAGAAATATGAAAATTCAGAAATCTACAAATACAAAATTCTGACAAAATGGTAATCTAGGTAAATATAGAAATCTAAAGATATAGCAGACTTGGAACATAGAAATCTGGAGATATAGAAACCTAGAAATCCAGGGATATAGAAACCTAGAAATCTAGGGATATAAGAATTTACCTAAATGAAAATCTAAATACATGAGGACTCCACAATATAGAAATCTGTGAAGATGTAACAGTCTGAAGATGCAGTTACTTACATTTAGGCCTCTCAAAGAAGACAGCTACGAGGGGGCTAAGATAGCCAGGGGTGTTTGTGAAGGGGAAGTAGTATCCAGGGAAACCACGATGTGGAATGTATTGAATCGCACCCATGTTCTCGATATCGGCTGGATTTTCACCTGTACAAGATACCCAAACGGTGTCCAACCGATTGGACAGCGCCTCTTGTTTGATGTGATCTTGCAGCTCGGCTGGCATGTCGCGGGGTAGATTCGATGTGTCGTTGTAATATTCCGGTTTCCAGCCGAAAATCTATAAAATCACAGTTACTGTACACTTGTACATTGTACATTCAATTGTCGTTGAAATCAAATTTATTTGAAATGTGCCAGGAAAATGTACTATGACATTGATGTCGGATATGGTTACAGAAATGTTGGGACTTTGATTACGGTAATTTTGAACGTTTGTAAGTTTATGTTTATAATATTACAGATTTGATAGTTGGAAAATGTGTGGTTTTTAAAGTTAGTGAATGTGCAGATGTGAAAGTTGAAGAATGTATAGATGTGAAAGTTGAAGAATGTATAGATGTGAAAGTTGGAAAATGTAAAAAACTTGAAAATGACAATTTGGAAGCTTGAAAAATTTCAAACTTAAACTTGACATTTTTTTGAAACTTCAAAGCTTAAAACTTCTATAATTTTTCATTTCTAAATCAGTGTTTTTTCAACCCTTCCAATTTAGAAATTTTTATTTTTCAAGCTTCAAAATTTCATATCCCTACATTTCAAAATTTGTTAATTCTTAAATATCTAAATTTCAGATCTTTCGTGTCACCAAATATTCAAAAAACTGTTGCCACACTTGTAAAACGTCAGAGAACTAAATTTTAATATTTAAAAATCTAGTCCTTTGATAGTCCAAAGTTGAAAAGTGTAAAATGTTAGAAATATGAGATGCCTCCGTCAAAAATCGAATTGAAAAATTGCTTATCATTTGTACGAGTGCTGTACCTTGTTCAGTTTGAGGAAAATGCAAGGGGCGGATTTATTGTAACCATATTTATTTTCCTTTGTGCAGTGTCTCCACTGCGTCATGTCCACATCACAAACTTTTCCAGGGGTCGGTGGTTTTCCGTAATCGCAGAGCATTCTCTGCTGGGCACCGTTTGTTCCTCCAGAAGGCTTCTGATATTCTAAAGAAACGGCAATGCATTTCCATCAGAAATCAATGAAACGATATTAAAATGGAAAACGAACAAATAAGAACATCCCGTAATATCTTTTCAATTAATTGTAATACCATCACCCATATTAAAATCATTTGCCTATTGAATCATTTTTCTTTCAATCCCAGAAATAAAATAGAAAAGAAATTCTTTTAATTACAAAATATATTGATATCTGTTTCCCCTCCATCGATTCGAGAAAATTAAATTACTGAATTATTAAACGAAGAATAAATACCATTAGGTAACAATATTTTGTCGAAATATGTATTACACGTATAAATGCATGGAAACTGATCTAAAGATTGGTCTTACCTTGACCGGATTTAACAAGCTGTTGACGTAACTGGCTCGTTAGGAGAAAGAAAATTTTCTCGCGTATCGGTTAATATTAGCCTTACAATGCGTCAATCGATACATTTATGTTGGTTGTTAAATTTCAACCAAAGAATATTTCGAGCTTAATTTAGACTACAGTAACAGTATAAACGAAACTTAGCGAACGTAATCCAATAAACAGCATTACGACAGCTTACATAATTCTGTGTTTTAACACCGAAACCACTAAACGGATCATTTGACCCATTCACAAGCTTCCTTTTTCGTAAAGGTTTTTCTTTTGAAATCTCTGTTCATTCTTATGAAGGTAAAGAAAATTTATATTTTATGTGTTTGTCATTTTTATCGTTTATTTGTTCATGTATTTCTCTATTTTATTTTTATTTTTTACTTATGTATTATATGTAAATTTAGAGTTAATAACTTGATAAAGTCTGAGTATTTTTGTTAGTAATTTTAGCACCGGGTTTCATGAAGTTTGGGAACGTCCCCGACATTGAAGCTCAACATTAAGAATTAAGTACCTTATTTTTAATTTCAAATTATGTACTCATACATATGTAAATTTAGTGTTAATACAACTTGAATAAATCTGAGTACATTTGTCATAAATCTGAGTGTATTTGATCAGTAATTTTAGCACCGGGTTTCGTGAAGTTAGTGAACGTCCCCGACATTGAAGCGCAACATCAAGAATTAAATACCTTATTTTTAATTTCAAATTATGTACTCATACATTTGTAAATTTAGTGTTAATACAACTTGAATAAATCTGAGTACATTTGTCATAAATCTGAGTGTATTTGATCAGTAATTTTAGCACCGGGTTTCGTGAAGTTAGTGAACGTCCCCGACATTGAAGCTCAACATTAAGAATTAAGTACCTTATTTTTAATTTCAAATTATGTACTCATACATATGTAAATTTAGTGTTAATACAACTTGAATAAATCTGAGTACATTTGTCATAAATCTGAGTGTATTTGATCAGTAATTTTAGCACCGGGTTTCGTGAAGTTTGAGAACGTCCCTGACATTGAAGTTCGATGTTAAAAGCTAAATACCTTCGAGGAACGCGTCCAATTCTCTGGTCCAATGTAAGAAATTTCCCTCGTCGCTGGCTTTGTACCAAATCAAGGTACTTTCGACGTTGCTTGATGGTGGCATAGGCCTAAAACCAAGTCCAGGGTTGCTGCCGATGAGGGAATTGTCCAGCTGCCATTTTGGTTCGTTCGGGTCTAACGTCTGGTAAAAAACGGTCAACATCGCTCCGAAGAAACCGGCCAGTACCGCGTAAAAAATAACGTAGAATAACAAAATCTTGCCTGTAATCAATGAACAACAAGTTTGATTAATTTTATAATACATTTAAAAAATCAAAAACTAAGATTACCTATTAGATTACTAATTTGAATTATCCTTAAAAAGTTAAAGTTATTATTCGGATGAAAATTTTGATTCTCCTTTTAGAGCATAATGTATTTCGATTTAATTGATTGTACAAAATTAGGAAGCTTAATCAATTTTATGAAATTAAGAAACTTTTCATTAAGGTATTAAATTTATTATTATTAAAATTTTTAGTTCTTGCAGTACATAATTAATTATATAAAATTTAATTTATCTTTATAACAGTCTATATTTACATTTGTAAAGGTAATTTTGTGCAAATCAATAAGCAACTTCTCATAAAATATTATAAATTTTGTAGATTATAATATATAATAATATAAGTTTTGTATGATTAATTATACAAGGTTGTAGTACAAGATGTACAAGTTTTGTAATAATTCACTTTCAATAAATTATTGTAGGAGTAACGTTTTAGTATCATTAGAATATAATATACATATGTAGATATTTAGGAATATAAGTATCCACCTACGTATATCTATAGAAACATAGAGGATCTAAAAATATGGATCGCTATCTAAATCTCCATGATTTAGGATTATAGAAATGTAGGAGACTGGAGATATAAAAATTTCAACATATAGAAGTTCGAAAATATAGAAATTTAATGACACTGTTGGAATAGTAGAAATCTTGGATCATAAATATCTAGCGATATAGGAGTTTAGAAATATAGAAATTAAAGAGGCATCAAAACTTAAGGATACTAAAATAATTAAAGATGCTCAAAAATTAAGGATACTAAAGATATTAAAGCTTAAGGATACTGAAATCTAGAGAAATATAGAAATATAGAAAGATATGTAAAACTAAGAATACAGAAACCCAGAGATATATCAAAGCCTAAAGATACTGAAATCTAGAGAGATATAAAAATCTAATAGAAAGCTAGGGACATATGAACCTGAAGCTGCAGAAATCTGCAAATATACAAATTTAATGTTATAAAGACTTGAGGAGATAAAAATTTGGAAATGTGAATATCTCAGAATACTAAAATTAAGGAATATAGAATTGTAAGGGTATGACAATCTAGGGACATTGGAATCTGTCAATACAGATATCTATAACTTGAAAATAATTACTATTATTATTACATAATTGAAATTTTGAAACGTGGCTATACAGGAATATAGAAACATAGAAGAATACATTAATAAATCCAGAAATAGACACACATAAATGACAAAATCTAAATCATTTAACGCCTGTCTTATCGCAATAATGTCTTTCATAGATATACATAACAACTGAAGTGTAGAACATCGAGACAATTATGATCGCCAGCCTAATTGGCCTGAATTGATATTGAGTAAGCAATGTAGCTCGTTTACTATAAGAATCGTTAATGAATATGTACACTTGGTGCAATCTATCTTCGAAGAATCACACCATTTGCTTTTACTGCATCACACCCGGGCATTTAATCAATGAAATGTCTGCTAAATATCTGACATTCTTTTGAAACATAATTTTGCTTATTACATTTGATGATTGAACGTTCATCTTCCTTTGTGAACTGATTAAAGAGAAACTATGAATTTTTATGGAATAAAAATGTGAAAATTAAAAATTGACTCATTGTGTGATGGGGAGTTTGTTGAGTAAGAACTGAGAATTTATACGAAATTCATATATCTTTTGAAATCGAACTTTGCTTATATTTGATGATTGAATGTTCATCTTCCTTTGTGGACTGATTAAAGAGAAGCCATGAATTTTTATAGAATACAAATGTGAAAATTAAAAATTGACTCATTGTGTGATGGGGAGTTTGTTGAGTAAGAACTGAGAATTTATACAAAATTCATACATCTTTTGAAATTCAACTTTGCTTACATTTGTTGATTGAATGTTCATCTTCCTTTGTGGATTGATCAAAAAGAAACCATGAATTTGTATAAAATACAAATATGAAAATAAAAAATTGATTCATTGTGTGATAGTGAGTTTGTTGAGTAAGAACTGAGAATTTATACAAAATTCATACATCTTTTGAAATCTAACTTTGCTTACATTTGTTGATTGAATGTTCATCTTTCTTTGTGAACTGATTAAATAGAAACTATGAATTTTTATAAAATTCATACATGTAAATTAAAAGTTGATAGAGTAATCATAACTAATGACTTTGCTGAGTAAGAACCAAGAATTTATACAAAATTCATACATGTAGATTAAAAATTGATACAGTAATAGTATCTAATGAAACATCATACTTTAAACAGGTAAAAATGAGAGATACGTATTTTTTTATCGGTTGAGCAATTTTAAAGACCTCTTCAAATTTCAACCCCCTTGTGCTATCTCGAAAACCATAAGATATACATTAAAACCTATAATAGAAAAGTTTTATGGTTTTTTGTGTATAACAACAATATTTTAATAAATTGAACAAAATAATATTCATTTTCAATTTGTTTATTAACAAATTTTTCAAATTTCAAATTTGCATAAAGACAAAAAGTGTAGAGAATTTTATTTCAAATCCATTGATATGTATATATACGCAATTGCGTTTTACAGTTTCTCAGATGATTATCTACATTACACGTGACCGCTGATCTACCACACGATACTAAGGTGATGTCATGTCCGATGACATTACTATTATTCAACGTTATTTATAAGCATAAATAAAAAACAATTATATTTGCGTTACTCATAACTGTTAATTTTATTAAATTTGTACTATAAAACAGAACTTCAGGATGTGAGAATTTGGGGATTTGAGAATTCGAAAGTATAAGAATTTGAAGATTTCAGAATTATAGTTTAAAAATTTGGGGATGTGAGAATTTGGTGACGTGAGAACTTTGCGATGTGAGAATTTGGGGATTTGAGAATTCGAAAATATAAGAATTTGAAGATTTTAAAATTATAGTTTAAAAATTTGGGGATGTGAGAATTTGCTAACGTGAGAACTTTGGGATGTGAGAATTTGGTGATGTAAGAACTTCAGAATGTGAGAATTTGGTGATGTGAGAATTGTAGAATTTATAACTGGCGAAAAGATTTGTATGACATCACCATATGGCCATAATAGATTGTTCTAATTCCCTATGATTCTGTACCGACTTCTCCATACACGTACAAAAATATCTATTCAACAATGAACTATCTATTCAACGCCTCATCGTTTATCAAATGTCAATATATTTTATATCTTGATATGATTAATGATATCCAATATATTTTATATCTCGATGTGATCGATGATATAAAATATATTTCATATCTTAACGTGATCGATGATATAAAATACATTTCATATCTTCATGTGATTAATGATATCAAATGTATTTTATATCTTGATGTAATTGATGATGTCAAACATATTTCATATCTTGATATAATTGATGATGTCAAATATACTTTATATCTTGATGTGATTAATGGTATCAAATATATTTTATATATTGAAGTATTTAATGACATCAAATATGTTTTATATCTTGATACGATCGATAATATCAAATATATTTCATATATTGATTATGACTGACACTATCAAATATATTTAATAACTTGAATAAGCGTCATCTGCTGAAATACCCAATATTTTTCTTATATTTCATATATCATGATTGACGCTATCAAATATATTTAATAAATTGAATAAACATCACCTGTCAAAATACCCAACGTTTAAAATAAATATCAAGACCTCCAATCGACGACACAATTTCCTGTATTTAGAGACCACCTACTTAATATTTCTATTTATAACATTAGTGGCATAAAAAATTTCTAATTTAGAAAATACGTCTTCCTTCAATGTTCTCCTTGGCACAACACCAAACACTCTTGAGGAAGTATAATACATTAACTTTGGTTGCAACACCTGCCTTCACCAAGGTTACAGAATGACTTCTTACGATCTATATATAGTTCTTTTTAGTATGCTACGAGTACTATTGTGAACGAGTAGTTCCTGGTTATTGGTAATGAATTAACGACTATGAATCAGAAAGATTCTGGAGAAAAGTTTTACTGCTGGGAAATCGATGATGTATGTTTCATTTGGGAATTTTGCAAATTAGGAAATTTAGAGATTTCAAAATTTGGGGATGTGAGAATTTGGGAGATGTTAGAATTTGGAGATGTGAGAATTTGGGGATGTGAGAATTTGGGGATGTGAGAATTTGGGGATGTGAGAATTTGGGGATGTGAGAATTTGGGGATGTGAGAATTTGGGAGATGTTAGAATTTAGGGATGTGAGAATTTGGGGATGTGAGAATTTAGGGATGTGAGAATTTGGGGATGTGAGAACTTGGGGATGTGAGAATTTGGGGATCTCAGAATTTGGGGATGTGAGAATTTGGGGATGTGAGAATTTAGGGATGTGAGAATTTGGAGATGTAAGAATTTAGGGATGTGAGAATTTGGGGAATGTTAGAATTTGGTGATGTGAGAATTTGTAGATTTGCAAATTTATAAATTTGAAAATTTTAAAAATTTGAGAAGTTTTATGACAAATATTGAATTTAAGAATTTAAAAATATAAATATTCGAAAATTCAAAAATTTGAAAATGAGGAAGTTACAGAATTCAGAAAATGAAAAAATACCATTATTCCAAATTTCGAAATTAAATACAGAAACTGAAATAAGTCCATCATAACAAATTAGTTACCAACGAAAAATTAATGTCACTCTAAACTACATCTCAACCTAAAAATTAAAATTAAAGAAAATTAAATTCTATATTAAGGGTTAATTCCATACAGAATAAAGTAATACAAATAAAGCAAAATATCTGCGAAGAAGACTGAAGTAATGTTCTCAAGGAAAATACAGTGGGTTATTGATCCTTGTATAAATATCCGCATTGTGGGATTACGCCTCGTTCTAACGCAACTATTTTTCTTACCCTCGTTCGAGCAAATCTGATTGTTTCATGTATTATTTC